TGTTGAAAACAATTTCAATTAATCAAATAAACAAAACAAAAAATATTCACTGTATAATGTCATTAGTATGAATTTATATGCAGCTTAAAACGCTATGCAGCCTAGGTGTGCCAAGGCCATTTTCAGTATTTTATATTCTTCGCCTCGGCGTAGGTGCAAAGTCAAAGGGAAATGTTTCGCCCGCCGGGCCGAAACATCTAACCCTCTCCTAAAAAATAATAAAAACGAGATATTAATACAATACTAAATAATAACCAGTAACCCCTCTCCTGCAAAAAAAATCACTCTAACACCCGAAAAACCCTCCAAATAACCTCTTTATCTACTGTTGCCCCTATTCTCCCGTATAATTCAAAATTTCTCATCCGCCCGGGGCATCAGCGCGAATGGATACCCCTCAGCATGAATCCGCCTCACGTCTCTTTTCACCACCCTGGAAGGCTCTAATTAAAATAATAAACGCATTTGCACGGACTACAGTCTTCTATGCCGCCCCTCTCCCCCTCGTCCCGTGCGCCCCCATCCAACCCCCCTCCGACCCCTCGCCCTCCCCCCGCCTTTCCCCACCTCAACCGAGGGGTGAACAATTTCTCCACCCGTGGACCACAACATTTCAGCCTCCAGTTTCTGTGTATAAATGTTTCCATATTATATCGCTCCCTACAGAGGGTGCAACAGAGACAAACCTCTGATATATAAAAGAGAAAGAGAGCGACGGCGGCAGTGGTTGGGGTCGTGGGGGGTGAGGGAGGGGGGGATAGCTCGAGGGGTTGGCTTTGGCGTCTCGTTACAGCGGTTAGCTTCAGGGGGCGTCAGCGGCCATACCCCCCAAAAACGAGAACCTAAAAGAGTGAAAGGGGGAGGGGGTGTAGGCGAGGGACCGGCGAAGGGGTGAGGGGGGAGGGAGAACGGGTGGTGGTGAAAAAGGACTCGTGTTTTTCGCCGATTGAATCAATTAAAGTCCGGGAGGGGGAAAAAATTCTACGGCAAAACTGTAACGAATAAAATATTCTCGATGAGATTCAAACTGAGTTTCAGTGACACTTTTTTTCATTACTGTGAATTTTTTTTAAGGGCGGAGGGAAAGGGGAGGGGGTTATGTGAGGCGTGATCGACGTGGCGTATCGATGTGCATATCGTGTCTTTAGAGATGACGTGGATAACGAGGGGGAATAGCGTAAATGTCTGACGCGAGAACAGAAGTTTTACGGATTTTGTATTTTGCCAGTTTTAGGGNGGGGGGGGGGGGGGTATTGGGGGGAGAAGAATCGACGGGTGGATTGGTGTGATTGTTTTTTTGGATTGGTGATGATCATATAGCAACACTGCACATGTGTTTCATCGACTAATTCCATATGATCAATCCATATTTTCCTTATTTTTCTTCAAAAACTCCAAACCTTTGCTGATCGATTGCAAAAAATTACGTAAAGAGGGAGGGAAATAATGTAAAGAGCTAGGGCAATTTATTCTGTCTCGCATTTTTTCCTTGTTCCAATAAAAAATCTGCCAACACAATTTTTCGGAGAGCAAAACGTTTTGAGCGTCTCGGTCTTTCAGGAATGTTTGCTAGAACTCTCGTAGAGAATCAATAACTCTAGTCACAAATTTCGGAAAGGCCGACACGTTGGCCGATTACTAAAATTCTGGGATGACTTTCAACAGATTTTGGTGTCCGTGCATCCATGACAGCAAAAAAAATGAATCATAAAAAAAATTTAGGCATGAATTATTAACGAGAGAGAGGGAGAATGAAGAGTTGTTTTAAGAAATAGAATTAAGGACATGTTAATATTGAAACAACAAAAATAAACCTCTTTAATCGTTTAATTGTCGACGGGAAGTCTTGGGAGAAAGAAAAGGGAAGGATAGCCCAACCCGTCGAGGCATTAGTGGTAACATTAGTCGCGTAAGCTCAGCCATCCGGCTTGTTTGTTAAATAATATCATTGCTACCTCTGTAACCACCTGAACCCGTTAAAAACTCGATCCCCAATGAAAAAAATGAACCCTGAAAGACTTCTCGTTTTTCTCATTATTATAATTATAATTATAATTATAATTATAATTATAATTGTTTGTTCAACGTCGAAAATATTTCAAAGCCCAGTATTTTCAGTGGACTCGTCTGGACCAATGCCAAGGGAGAGGTAAGTTTTGCCATCAAAATGGCACCGGAGGCACGAGAGATTCATTCAGCAGCTGAGTCAGCTCAGAATCCCTCAACTCTCTCTACTGAAATTCCTAATTGACAGTCACCATGTTCTGCCACGATTCTCCCTTGCCACTCGTCACATCACCTCCTGCTTTCGTAAGCCGAAAATTCACGACAAATTTCTATCTACGTAACAATAAAAGCATGCGGAATTATCGTAGTGCACGTAGAAAATAAAAGCTCTAGTCTCTCCAGGAGGAATATCCCCAAAATTCAGTAACAAGAACCTACTTATTTCGAGGGAGAATTACAAAAATTCTTAAGGATATCCAATTGGACATTTATACTGGGGTCTGTACCCCACTATAAATTCAACCATTTTCAATCATCAAAATTGTCTATTAAGGGGAGACTACTATGAGCTTCAAAAGTCGTGGGTTATTGGAGTGAGACTTTTCATACGATTATTCGAATTCGATTTCTCATACCTTAAAGATTGATTACATATGTCCAAAAATGAATAATTAGGGCAAAAAAATTCATTGCTTATTGTTCTTTTGCCCCGCAGACGCTTAAAATATTAAAAATAGTCCAGGGCCTCCAATTTTTGAGCTACAGAGGTTTATTTTTTTTCAAAATTTTTGCAAAAATGTATACAATAACAATTACGAATTAATTTTTTGAAAGAATCGAGAATATATTTTTAATATTTAAAGGATAATTTTTCTGCCTATTGAATGGCGCAAGTTTTTATTTTAAACGAACCGAAATTAACTGTGGAAGTCGAATTAAAAAAAACTAATTGGTAATTATTATTGCTCAAATTTTTTCAAAATTTTTGAAAAAAAAAAGAAACCTCTGTAGCTCAAAAATTGGAGGTCTTGGACTATTTTTAACATTTCAAGCGTGTGCGGGGCAAACGAACAATATGCAAACAATTTTTTTTACACTAATTATTCGTTTTTAGACATATATCTTATGTAATCGATCTTCAATATAATTATGAGAAATCTCATTCCAATCGCCCGCGACTTTTAAAACTCATAGTAGTCTCCCCTTAAATTCAGTGAGAAAAATTTGAAAAAAATCATGAATATTCAGCGTCATTCAATTTACATTTTGCGCAGAATTGTTATTTTTACACATTCGTTGTTTACAAATAAATAATTCCAATTGGTTAAACTTTCGGAAACCTAATTTTTTTAGACATGAAATTGACTTTTATTAAAATTCTGAATATGAACAAATGATTTTTATGGCAGTAAATTGATTGTTTATAAATCATTTACAGAAAATGTTCGTAATTAAAAAAAAAAGCAATTGTTAAATCATTTCATCAATTCCTAAAGTAAACTTTATAATTTATTTTCAATTTTTAATTCGCCATTAGAAACGCAAAATCAAAGTGTTACATCTTTGGTATACTATTTTAAACAGATTCGTGGCGTTAGAACTCTATTTCCCGAATAAAATGTTTTTTAAAACGTGAAGATTTCATTTATTTTCAGAATTCTCTGATCGTTAGATTTCTCTGTGTGGTATGAACCGTCAACCTTCGGAGTGTTATAACATTCGATGTCTATTACCGCTAATCTCTACGTCAGGATGACCCGCAGGTGCCAACAAACCCAAGATTATCATCGATAATCAAGTTAACATGTGTTTCTTTCATATTTATTTTTATGCTGTGATGTGTGGTGAAGCAAACTCGGTTATGTGAAAATTTAATGCGAAGCCGAGTTGCACTGAGAAGCCCTTTTGATAGTGCTGAATATTCATGAGTGATATAGAAGCCCTTTGTGGTCTTGCGAGAATCTCAAGAATTTGAAGAAAATTGTGGTGTAATGGTGAGGAGCAACTCATTGAAAATTATTTCAAAATAACTCCCGAGGGTAAGGTTTAGAGGAATCCATCAGAAGACCTTTTTTACAGATTACTTCATGAACTATATAAATGGCTGCTGACAGTTTTACGTCCAATGGTTCATTTCCTAGATAATTACTCAATTAACAAAATATCGTATGCACGGAGGGAAATTTGCAAAGTGACGGCCAGGGAAAAATTCCAGTGCCGGCACTAGAAATTTTATTGGGGAAAACCGCGAATTTTTCCCCGGATTTCTGTGATTATTTTCCTCACTCGGATTTCAGCCAATCAGAGCGCAGTATTTGAGGCTGTCAAACAGTTTTATTTCGGAAATTTCTAAAAAATTTCCGACGGAAATTCACTAGCAGTTTTTCAAATGTTTCTCATCGTTTAACGCATTTCACGTTTAATATTCAGTATGACAGATAAACAAAACAGTGGGTCGTGAATGTATGGATGTGTAAATGTATTGGGATTACTACCGAAGCACTAGTGGTATTACTACCGAAAATTTCACAGAAATACCAAGAAATTTTACCTTAACAGCACTAGAATTATTCACAGCCGGTGGATTGTGATTTTTTCCAGTACTCGTATAGAATTTTTCTAGAAAATTTCCCTCTGTTTGCATGGAATGTTTTTGATTATTTTCCGGGCTGGATTTCAGCCAATCACAACGCAGTATTTTGTTGCTCATTTGTTATCAAACTATTTCGATGCAAACGGTGTCTAAATAAATTCAATAATGTGTGAAAAAATCTTCATAAAATTGACTGCATTTTTTAAATATCCTACTCTTCGCCCGATAATCGTTAATTTACCAATAGTTATTTCTCTTCATTATTTACCCGTAATTTCCTCTCTCACCAACCCTCGATAATACTTTTGAAAATTCCGTTTCCTGCTTATCGACTCATAATAAGGTAGGATCACTGAAAAATGAACAGATTAAAAATAGACAATTCGTGAACCAATTTATGAAAAACATGGAATCGCCGGACCGATATCTCCCCTTGACAATTAAATTGCTCCCCACGAATCTTTCAATGCATAAATAAAAAATAATTTATGTAACTCTAAAAATACATTGCGTAATCTCGAATTGTGCCGGGTCACGATTGTCACGCTCGATAGATAGTCCCTCCCCAAAGACTCGAGACTCGCGTAAATAATAAATAGCAAAAACAGTGGTGATTGTTGTACTGTAGAATTTATCGAACGTCAAGGGGATCGATCCAGAAACAAATGAGTCGCTTTGTCAGTCGCGCCATTTCCGTTGCCGGACGATCGACGTTCAGTTGCTTCACACGATCACTTCACGTATCACCGAGAAATATGGTTATCGCTGTCAGTTTTTCTTAATTTTTTGTGCTTTTGGAAATTAAAAAATATTTTTAGTGCAGTTGATTCAGGGAATTGTTTTCATTTCCGACAGGTTGGAGATAAAGTGCCTGCGGTGGACCTCTACGAGGATTCCCCCGCCAACAAGGTCAATCTTGCCAAAACTGCGGCTGGAAAGAAAATCATTGTTTTTGGAGTTCCAGGAGCTTTTACGCCAGGATGTTCCAAGGTAATCGACTGAATTCAACTCAAAGCTCAAGATTAATTATTTCTTTCTCACTCAAAAGAATGGAATCGAGCGACAGAAATTAATTTCCAAGTTCAAGGTCAAAGTCTACAGGAAATTTTGATAAATGTTACGGCTTGAGGGCTGATGTTTCGTTGTTTTTTTCAGACTCATCTCCCCGGATTTGTGCAGAAAGCTGATGAATTGAAGTCTAAAGGAGTTTCTGAGATCTTTTGTGTCAGTGTGAACGATCCATTCGTGATGGCTGCTTGGGGAAAGGATCACCAAGCTGATGGAAAAGTAAGTGTTAAAAAAAACGGAATGAAATAGAAAGGATTCTCAAGTATATCTAAGAGAGAGACACTACCGCATCTCCTGATCTAGTGTTTAGCTATCTATTCTCATTGGAAAACAACTTCAGGAAAGAATTCCTTCGGAGCCATAAAAATGGATAAGAAAACAATAAATGTGCGAAAGCTACATTTAATGGCACTTATTTATATCTATAACTTTTTAATATAAATAATTTTTAACATATAATAAGATGAGAAAAATAGTAAAAAGCATAACAATACTGAATTAGCGGACGAGAGGCTTCAAAAAACGTTGCACTGGATTTTTTAAAAGCGGAAGAATACTTGCCTTGTGTGTTTCTCAGATCCACTAAATCTCGAAATAGATTACATAATTAACAAGGACTTCACACTTCACTTGAATTCTTTAGTAATTTCAACCTTGAAATAACTCTAGATTTTTTTATCGCTAATTGAAGGCAATATAACGGAATGTTTACTACTTTTACTTAAAATAGGTGAGAATGCTGGCTGACACCAATGGCGAATTCGCGAAGGCTGCGGACCTCGCCATGGACCTCCCAGTCCTCGGTGGCACTCGGTGCAAGCGCTTCTCCATGGTCGTCGAGGATGGAGTCGTCAAGGAGATCAACGTCGAACCTGACAACACCGGTCTCAGCTGCTCACTCGCTGACAAAATCAAAGTCTAATAAAATCCAGTGTTCAACGATTCCTTAGTTTACCACTGATTCATTGATTGATGAGAGAAAATTAATCCACGTTGTCACTACAATCTACATATCCATGTGATTCTTTCGTTGCACATATCTCAACTCCTACTTCGATTTTTTCACGTTTTCCTTATATTTAGATGTTTAGGTTTCAATTTATCAATTGACTGAAACAAAAATGTGAATGATGAAAGATGATGAAAAATAAAATATGGAGAAATGAAAACAATCTGTTCAATTTTCTCAGGTTATGAATGGAAATCAGATTAATAAATCAATTGAATAAATTGGTGAATGGGCTATTTTTCATAAAGACCTCTTTGCAGTTTTCGATTTTTCTACAGGGACATTATTTTACTGAAATGCTTTTTGTGAAACGGGCACTGATTATAAAATATTGACTTTACTAATTCTTCTGAAATCTTACGCTATTGGAATTTTTTAAATTTGGGCCAGAGCTGCACGCAAATTTGCAATGCTAATTGTTAATTGAATTTAAAATGAAATCATTAATAGAATTTTTTACACTTCATTAAAATAATTTAGCAAAATTCAGTTTCTCATGTTCGGTTATCAGTGATATGTAAAGGACAAATAGAATTCTCAAACTGATTGGGAGAATTAAACACCACATTCAATTGAATTTTTGATAGATCTGAAATACTGAACAATTTTTGCCTGAATTGCCAGTTTTCAATAATTTTCATTGTCATATGGGCCTGAAATAAACTGGAGGACTAAAGGACTAATAATTGATCGAGTAAACAACGTTCATGAATTATGTATGGACTTCTGAGATTACATGTTTGACTCACCGATAAATAATACACTATTTTTTCCTTCTTCTATTACGCACGTTCTTAATACCTGTGATATTATCAAGTGGGGGAAGTCTTATCGTTAGGCACTAAAGTGGTAGTTAGTGCGTCGCTTTTGTCCAGCACCCACAAAACGTAGGTATTCAATTGACGGAAAACATTCTCTTGAATTACACCAGTTGTAGTTTCAAATCAGTGGAATAATGATGAGTGTAAATTCGTGTCAAATATGCCAAGTGTAACAGGATCTGATGTCACATAAAACGGTGAGTCATGCATGTTGAAACAATATTCTTTCTATTCGATTTATTACACCTTCTCGGCATATCAAACATACAACTGGGAAATTATTTACTCCAAACGTACGAAAAATATAGGCGTAGGTAGAAAACAATTATCAGATAGTTCAATAAAAAATGTTCACTTATTTACAAAAGAAACAAACGGATATTGAACATTTTTTTCTCATGATTAATCAATTTCTTTTAACGAGTATAATAAAATATTAGGTAGTGGTTAATGAAAAACATTTTAGGATTAACTTAGGAGTGAAGAGTGAAATCTTAAGAGTAGACAATGTTGAAATCATTATAATTGTAAAATGGTAAAATGAAGACAAACTAGAACAAAGGGGTTTGTTGATAAATTTTCAAAGAAAGACCTTTCGACACCTTTTTCTGATGCCACTCCTTTTGTAGGTAAAAATATGAAAATCGAAATGATCCATCTAAATTAAATGAACATCTTCCTCTTTCATTACGATATCTCATTATCTCCGCACTCTCCCAATGGCGGTAGAAAAAAATCACGAAAGATGTCTCTGCCTAGGAAATATTCTTTGCTGCACAAAAAATATTTTTACATTTTTTCGTGGAACCATAGTTTTTTAGATAATACGTAATTAAGGAAAGCTTATTCAAATTAATTAAACGAACATGATTATTCACAAATTAATGTAATTACCTAAGAAAACAGAATTAACGCGAGAAAAAATCTCCGTCGTCACATTGTACAAAGCTTTGGATTTAGAGAAAGTTGTTTTTTGTAGAGAATTTTCTTCGATAGGGTAACCAGACCAATAGGTAGACATCGACCAAAAGATAGTCTATTTCCACTTTTTTTTTAGTATTCTATAAAAAATATAATGGAACTTGCATTGCAAATTTCCATTTTTAATAATAAAACAAATGTATAAAATACGATGATTTCCTTATTTTTTAATGATTTTTTATTGACGAACATTTTGAACGTAAAAAAAAAACAAATTCTCGCGAGGTACTCAGTGGCGGTGTGAGCAGTTAGAGAACAGTTTTGCAGTGTTGACAGAACAATGTGAAAAAATAGTCATTAGGACAAATAAACACGGTATCTGTTCGATTATCATTATCGAAAAGGATAATTCTCCACGTTTTACCATGCAGAAGAATGAATTTGTTTGAATAGCCATTAAATATGACCGTCTATCTACTGGTCTGGTTAACGATAAGTTCTCTCGACATTTTCTCCTAAAGCTATTCACTTCTTAGATAATCACGTAGTTAAAAACATCTGCTTGAACTGATCCAATAAAAATATTTTCGTCTTGACAATTGCCACAAACAACATTTCAGAAACTAATGGATTGAAAGAAAAATATCAGAAATTTCGATAAGATATTGTCTAGAGGATCCCCTGACTCTTTCCTCGAAATCCACTAGTTTGAGATAATCTGCAAAATGATCCTCCTTCAATTCTCAGATTTCTCTCCTCTTACCACTTCACTGTTGATTTTTCCAATGAAGACTAATTAAATCGTTTTAAAATCTATTATCACCATTAGTTCGCTCTTTTGGTTCGAATGGCTCTTCTTTCGATCGTTTGAAATTGAATTAGACCACTGGGATGTCATTCAGCCCAACGACAGGTTGTCGTGGTGGCAGGTCAGCACGAAGGTGATCCTTGAAATCGTATGTTATGAGCTTGACTGCTATGTAACCACCGTAACCATCACGTCCCTTGTGGAAGATTCCAGCTCCTGATAGGGGGAACGGGGGATTGGTGACCACTGGTTGGATATCTATGAAGGGGACAGTCGTTTGTGCTGCGTCTTTTCCAAGATCAGTCGGTCCGAAGTTCAAGAATTGGTTGGATTTTGAATCTGGGAAGTTTGGGGCTTTCGCACGAGTTGGAATGTCGGGTTTGTCCAACTTGAATTCAGTTCTGGAACGAAAGAATAGAATCAAATCAGAATAACCTGCCGTTACATATCTCAAATTTCCTGTTTTGAAGTTGTTCCAACTGACGATGGATTTGTTGATAAGGGACTATTCAAATATTACGTCGCAGAATAAAGAGGGGGGGGGG